GCTTTGAACCAGCCTGGAGTTCATCCTCCCAGGGAAAACTGGGGGTATTGGCTTTGTTTCCAGGGAAAAGTGACAGTAGGTCCAAGCAAACGCGTGTCATTGAGTGAATGTCCTGGTGGAACTCCCCGCTCCTACCTAGAAGCCCCGCGGTCACACAGTGGCTCCTGGGAGGACCGGTTCCTCTCACCCACGTCCTGGAACGTATGCAGTGTGTCCTGTTGGCTGTTCCTTGTTCTTGTCTCCTTGGTGGGCTACTCGGCGTGAGCCAGGTTTTATAAAATAGAAGAACAAAGACAGCATGGAAAGAGTGGAATTCATTTTTAGGCAAAATCAGGTTTGGGACTATTCAGTATTATGTTCCTTGTGATAGATACTAAGTGCGCCCGGAGGAATTCTGCAAAATGCTCCGGTTTCAATGAGCCACAGTTACAGGGGACGCAGCGCCCTGGGCTGACAGCTGGCCTCTGTCCTGCCTGGTGGGCGCGGCGACACACGTCCCCTCTTTTCACTGGTGCTTTGTAAATGAGGGGGTCCTTCCTATCTGCCTCTATTTAGCATTGTCTCTGGATTTCTCAGTACTCCTTTTCTCTTGGAAAACGGAAGGCTTGACGACAGATTCCCAAGGACAGGAGAGGCCCCACACAGCGCTCTGTTCAAGTGCCTCTCTGATTAGAAATTACACAGAAAATGCCTCTCCAGGTGCATTTCATCCTGGCTCAGCCTCTTCAGAATAGAGTGAAGCCTTTCCGAGCACTGACCGGTCTCTGTCGCCCGCAGAATGAAGAGCCCGCCTTCTCCCAGGACGGAGGAAAGTTGTTCTTTGTCAGAGCCATCCCGCAGGGAGGCCAGGGGAAGTTCCACCACATCGCCGTATCCTCGTCCCAGGTAAACGCTGCTCCCTCCCAAAACGGGCTTGCGGGGTTGGCGTTGGGCTCTAGCGGACTTGCCACCTTCCAGGTCCCCAACATGAACCCCAGGTACTGAAACTGGAGGGGTGGTTCCCGAAGGAGGAGCAAAATGGGGCACTCGTGCAGGCCAGACATCCTGATGGGGCGGTGGGTCACCTTCTGCCCTTCCTGTCATCGCCCAAAAATACAGATGACGCTGTGACAGTCTCAGAGGAGCCTGGTGTCCGTTGTTGGGTGTGAGCCCGAGGAAAGGCTCCTGCATCCAGCAGCCTCCCCTCTCCATCTGCAGAGTGGCCCCTCACACCCCCTGAGGCTGGGGACCAGGGCACACCACCACCCCCCAAGGCATCCCACCTCCACTTTTAGCCAAAAGCAGATATTATTCTATTGTGCTGTCACTATCAGTTGTCACTCCCCTGGTTCCGAGGTCCGACAGGGAATGCCAGAGCTTACTTACGACATGTGGATTGAGAACCAAAAGTGGGTGCCATCTCCTGCAGAGCGGCCCCCCCAGGCTGCCCGACCCCCTCCTCCGGGGGGTGCTCCCCTGGCACTGAGCTTTCAGGGACTCTGTCCTTGGGAAGGGGGTGGAGGGTGGGTGGCATTTCCAGGAGCACGACCTTCATCCTCTGTCTAAAGTTACTTGGGGTTGGGGCAAGTGAATAAAATTTAATTTTTAAAAAGGTTATCAAAAATAATCTGTGACTATAGAGTAAAAGGCCATGTTGATGAAATGGCACAAAAGGCAGTTTCCAAAAAATTTCCAAGCCTGTCCCACATGAGGGCAGCTTGCACGGGACAGGAGGAGCCTAGGCTGTGACTCAGTGATGGGACCGGCTCACTCGGAGGCTGAGATACAGACGTCTTACTTACATCACATAGACTGTTTGCAGACTGGCTGNGCTGCGGCTCAGCGTGAGCCTTCCTGGGGACCTGACTTCAGAAGCACCCCTGGCCATCCTGTCCCTAAGTCAGACCAGAAATGCCCGTCCGACAGGCTCCAGGGACTGGAGATTGGAAGCGATCAGGAGTAGCCGACAGAAACTTATTATGACCAAAAAAAATTTAATCTTACACAAAAAGTAAAACCCTAGACATTGGTATTTTCTTTATTTTTTTTTTCTCATTCCACATGTGACATGAGAGAGAACATGTGGGGAAGTTTTGCATGCGTGCTTGCTTATCCTACCTAATGGGATGAAAATTGTCTGAAAATCCTGCGGGGAAAATCGAAACGGATCCAAGTCCAGAGAATTATGCGAGGAGACACAGTTTCTCCACTGATGTGAGGGATTGCGTGTACGGGCAATCACAGAGCAACGCAGCTGTCGGCAGTGGCTCTCCAAGAACGTTCTAGCAACTCTGACTGGCGTGCCCTTCTTTTATCTGTGGAATTCGTGATCAAGTCCAGCTTTCCATCTGTTATCTCAGGGGTGGGAGCCTCAGAAGTGGACACTGTTGCTTTTAAATATTTTTTTTTTCCTGCTCTCTGCCAGTCTTATCCAAAAGACGATGGATGGCCCGCTGTGGCCACTTTTGTTTTCCTGCATCCAAGTTTGGATGCGAAGCCCAAGCGAAGAAAAGACCAAGAATGAGGACGTGCTTGGGAACCGTGAGGCGTTCGCTGGGGAGTCGGTTATGCCGGGATTATGCTGGCAAGTCCCTGGCTGCCACCTGGACCGACGACATAAGCACAGGTATCTAAAATAACGTAAGGACGTTCCTCTTATATCATACAAAATGCCAGAGATGGAATGAACAGATCAGGAAAAAATCCGTCATCTGTTAGGCAAATATTTGTGGATTGTGCCAGGCACGTGCTGGGCTTTGTGGGTTTTAAAAAGTGAGTCAGCCACTTCCACTGAGCACACGCCACAGCCGTTTTGTGGATGAAGAATGTTCCGTTCTCTGGCTGTACCAGCCCCTGTGTATCTGCCGATGGACTTTTGGGTTATCTCCATCTTTTGGCGACTGTGACTACGCTGCTGCATGAACATTACGCCAAGTGAAAGCAGCCAGACACACAAGACCCTCGCTGTACGACGGCTTTTACGTGAACCCCCCAGAATAGATCAAGTCGCAACAACAGGAAGCTGTGTGGTGGGTGTCGGGTCGGAGGAAGGGGTGGGCAGTGGCAGCAGGTGGATACGGGGTTTCACTGGGGACGGTGGAAACATCCTGGAAGCGGATACAGTTGGTGGTTGCGCAGCGTCACGAAGGTGCCGGGTGCCTGATCTGTTCACTTTTACTAAGACGTTGCATGTTGTGTTACACGAATTTCATCGCGACGCTTAAAAAGTGGAGTGGGCTGGAGCCGCAGCTCTGAAAGATGTCATAGCAGAGAAAGGGTGGTGAGAGGGGCACCTGAGTTGCAA